CTCTCACGCAAGCTGGCGCAGTCTCAGCTGAGGCCTCCAGGCATAATAAAAAACCCATATTAATTCCTGTGCTCTTCCCTCCTGCAGGGAAATGACCACGGGAAGAAGCTATTCACAGACAACCCGCATCTGCTCTGTGTGGACTCACCTCCATTTACAGAAATCAGCGCGCTGGCAAGGGCTTGACTTGTGTCATCCCCCAAGGTGATGTTTATACAGTATGTTCCAGGTTCCTCAAAAGCTCTCCTGATGGTGAGTAAGCATTCATCAGTGACGATGATGGGGTTGCATACCACGCTCTTGGACACCTGGCATGTGGGGTCAGAAACTACTGTGCAGACATCTGTGGGGAGACTGGGATGGGAAGAGAGAACACATTGTATCTGTGGAGTCCTGTTAGCCCAGTTCATAGACACATTGCACTGATGCCCCACTTTTATGCTGGTGCCTGTTTACTGAAATCAGTGGCACTATAGTGATTTAAGAGTGTTTTATTAATACATTGCATATATATTTTATACATACCTATACATTTTATATATACATGCATGTGGATTTTATATAAAATGCATATATACAATCTATAAAATTATCTGCTTGTTTTACATATAATTTAAAATTTTATGGTGATCACAGAATTACCTGCCTCAAATCAGCTTATAAAGTCCCTTACCTTTAATACACGTCATTAAGAAGGGAATGCAGATTCTTGTATGAAGTATCATGTGCCAAAAAAGTAAACGCTAACTTAAGTTAATTGTTTTCCAGTTGCATTACCAAGATGATTCTGGTACTTCTCAGTCCTCTCAACTCTAAGCCCGTTCTAGGAGCTAGGGATATTAGTGCAATGTTTTCCTATCCAAGAAATTGCTTGGACACACCCATTTACTCTAAGTGTCAAAAAATCATGGCCAAAAAGAAAGGGTTTCCTTCCAATTTCAGTAGACTGCTTCCCCTTTTACAGTAAGTGCTGAAATCTTGTCTTGGCCAGGAAAACACAGAACTGTTTCTTCCCGCTATCTAGTTCTCTTATTTTTACTGAGGCTTGACATTTGCTCTGAATCCTAAGAGCCTGGCAGTAACCTCTGTTGCCATAGTTTACAAATGAGACTTGCATTATCTTTAGTTCCAGTCAAGAAATAGAAACACTGCAGATCCCAACTTTTGTTCATGCAGCTGCACCTAAGTGCAGACAGCGTTCCAGCACCTAATTAATTTTAAAGAGGGAAGATTGACAGTTTCATTCACACACTTACCTCCCTTGGCAGGTAACAACAAAGTCAACCAGTGAGTTTTCAGCTTGACTTTCTGTCATCTGGATGCTTGTCATCTGAATAATATTTACCTCAAGGATTCCCTCTGGGAGAGGAAACAGATGTCAACGGTAGGACACATGACAAGCTCTGAAGTCTGTGTGTACAGAACCTCAAGTGTTTGGCTGATGCTCAGTTCGGGTCTTGTTTTCCATAACCTCCTCCCTCCCTTAGCACTCCTCCCGAAGAGTTTGAAAGCTGAGAAATCTTCCAGTGCTTTCCCTGTGAGGCTGCTCCTTTCTGCTCTGCTTTATTTTTCCATTGTTATTATTTACTTATTTGTTTTACTAAATCACTTCCCCGTCCCACTACCCATGACTTCTATGCATGCCAAGGTCAATTCAACCTTATGTGACCCTCCCCAGGCCAGTATGCTTCAGGTGTGGCAGGTTCAGAAGCTGATGCTACAGAAAGTAGTGATACGGTGCACATCCCCACCAGCCATTTTCCAACCCACGTGCCTGGAAACACCACATGTAGCATGGGAGCAGCCATCAGCAGGCATCCAGACCAAGGCCCAGCCTCACGTGTCTGAAACCAAGGGGCCATAACCTCTGCCGCTAGGTCCTGGCAGAGGGCGTGAAGAAACCAAAGTCAGCCAGTTAGCTGCCTGTACATTAATCTTTAAAAATGTCAGCTACGTCCAAGAGAAGAATCTTATTGTGGGTCTCACGTATTTGATAAAAGGGTGCCTAAATAAGCATTTTACCTACCATACATTGTTGTACATTATTAACCCCATTCCTCTGTTCAGGTGTTGACCCACATCCTCACCTACGACAGAGATACCAGTTCTGTAGTATCCATTTCTGTAAATATGGCAACCTCCATCAGGATTATCTTCCATTGACTCGACAGTGGTAGCAGAGTCTGAATTAGAAGATGTTCCGGTCGTTGCTGTTGAGTTGAGGGAGAAAGAATAGATACGCAGCTTTAGACCAAGTTCTGCTTAGAGGTGTTCTGAACATGGCCATATGTTGCAACTGCATTCATTACATGGGTCATTACTGACTTTGGTTTGCAGCTGTGCAGTCATGTGTGTATCTGTATGGGATCATGGTAATAAGCCTTAAAGAAAACACACATGCCCAACTGTAGAATCCTGGAGTGGCCTGGGTAGCCTCACTCTAAAAGCCACCTTGCTAGTCACCAATCTCTGTGAAATAAAAGTGAGACTGCAAGGTTTGATGTAATTAAACACTTCTTTAAAATTCCCAAATCAATTACAGAAGAAATCCAAAGGCCAATAAAAGGTTTAAAATGCTCTCTTTAAAAGCAGGTATTTTCCCATTGCTCTACATTACAGCTAGCAGAAAACTGAAGAGGGGAAGTGGTGAAAATTAGATCTTTTCTTTCATTTTTCATTCTCACTCAACATTTTGGTAAAAGCACATATTAAAATTCTGAAATTTGAAAAATATAGCCACATTTACAGTTTAATAGTAGTAGTATTATAACTACCCAGGCTGAAACTGCAGGCCTTTTGCAAACCTTAAAACCCTCTGAGATGATAAACTAATGCTGAACGTAATGAAAGTTATTCTGAAATATGATAATGCATAAATTTAAAGTGGAAAAGCCATTCTGGGTTAACGCCATGTGGAAATCCCATATTTTGGAATATGAGTAAGTTTTTTGTAGTTCAATCCAATCTCATTTAATTTTTGGTGGAAGTTAATGCAAACCAGAAAGGAACTGGCTATAAGAGTGTTCTGAAATACCTCTTTCTCACTTAAAATTTACATCTTACCTCAGAAGATAACCCTGAGCAGGCAAGGCTAAAACCACTTGACCTGGTGTGGTAGAGGATATAAAACCAAATATATGTGTACTTCATATCCACCTGAAGACTTCTCTATGCTGTCACTGTGGTGGTAGGACTGGATGTGTAATGTGTTAAATGTGTAAGTGATGCCTACCATAGAATCATAGAAGAGTTCATGCTTATTGGTTCTGTCTCTAAACCAATTTATAGAGGGTTTGCAGAGCCTTGCAGCGCTTTCATTGGTGACAGTAAAAATTCTAAAGATATGAACTTAAAGTATCAGAATTTAGTTTTAGCATAGCTCCTAATATCGCTGCTGTTTGATAAACTCTTACCTGCTGAGGTGAGCGGTGGTGCAGTGGGTGTGACTGGCCTGCAAGGTACAGGTATAATGGCTTGGACAGTTAAATTCAGAGTGAAGTTTCCTTGCAGAGTGTAGGTGTGAGATGTAGTGGAACTGCTGGCTACAAATAAGCCACTTCCATCTCCAAAGTTCCACTTGTAGGAGATGGCAGAGTTATTAAGATAGTAGCTGGGATCGTGGATCTTCACATCAAATGTGATTGGTGAGTCTTTGATAAAAATGGAGTCTGAGATGTTGCGGTCATGTTTTTGGAACATACTCACAAATATTGGAATTTTGTCTGGCGGGGGAAAAAAAAGAAATAAATAAATAAATCATACGTACCTGGCTGCAAACAACAAAGAGCTCCAAAGTCCCTGAACAGCAACAGTCAGAATGTGAGACATTAATATCTTTAACAAGGGTTTCTACTTTAATTTGATTTACTGATCTGAGGAGTGAATGTCAGTAGGAAACAGTTACCCAGAAAAGTATGGGAACAAATGAGGAATCACAGGCATCTGTGGAAGATGGCATTTCCTCTCGTAAATCATTTTTCATTACAAAGTAGAGGTGTCACAACTGAGCTACATACAAAGGTACACTACTCGAGGCAATCTACCAGAGATTCCACATTCATATTAAAAACCTTTCTCAGGCCAATGTTTTCTTTTCATGCCAGATGATGCTTGTGCTGAATTCTTTTAAGACCTAAACAACAAATACCCCCAGTATTTTATTACAGTTTATTCCAGCACGCTCACCTGTTACAACATAAATGGCACTTGCTCTTGCAATGGGAATGTATGCTGAGTGCCCTCTCCTGTAAATGGATACCTCCATCACGTGTTTGCCAAGAGTGATATTTGCTGTGTTGACTGAAAACGTTGCTGAAGATCGTCCAGTTGTTTGGTAGTACTGACCTGAAACAGAACATGAACGTACAGTGTGTTTTCCCCTTCAGCCTAGCTACAAGCTGTTTTAAGAGAAGGAATACCTCTGTGAATCTTGGATTGTCTGAATCAAAATGAATATTTAGAATTGTCTTTCAGTTATCTGGCAGGTGTTTTTGGAGGACTGAATACTTTTACAATGTGTTTACTCCCATTATTTCTGTGTTTTTTCGAAGATGCCAGAAAGATGTCCCAAATTTCACTAATCTAAGAAAAATTTGCCAAGGCATCTACGTCTTTCTAAAGCAATTACATTACATTAAGTCACTAGGATTATGTAATGGATGGTGTTACCTCTTAGGCATTTTAAGTGATCTTGTGTTTGTACGCCTTCAGTGTAGCAAGAAGATATAATACCTCTTGCTTCATACCCTAGAGCTCTTTGTATACATTTGCTTATTTGTCTTTGTAAGAGCTGACTGACGTAGGTAAATGGTATCACCTCTATGTAAAATTTGGGACTTTATTATTATTACTCATGCTGGTACTGATGATAATACTGATTTAACCAAGCTAACTTAGGATACTAAGATATAGTATGTAGCCAATGTCAGGAATAGCCCAACCGTTACATACTCAGGAGCTGGAAACACTGAAAATCAGTGTCTGTGTCCAGATCAGTACCACACAGTCAGTGGCAGTTTTCACCTCCCCAGAGGCAAGAAGTGCTGCACCGTTAAACTGATCTGAAGATATACAGTGCTAGGGTCTCTCTTAAATTTAAGAATCTGAAGTGGCAGTGAGCGGTCAACAAATCATCTGTCTGACCTGCTCAGACCCTCTGTTTTCCGAGAAAAAGATCTTGAGCACTACTGAAAGGAAATTAATTTTCTTCAGTAGTAGTACTGTGAATGCAGATTTAAAGAGAACCTCCTGGTAATCCATGATTTCCAGACCGAGCAGCTGATGGCCTCTCTGGAAAGCGGAGAATGAATTTGGGATCTCCACTCGAGAACGTGGAATCCTTTTTAAAGGACTTTTAATAAAACATACTTGACAAATGAGTTAGTGTACAGAGTGAATGTCAGTTTGCAGTGTCAGCCAAACCAAGGGATGTCTTGCAGTACTAACCAAACGTGTGAAACACGTAGACAAAGTTCCTTCTCCTCCAGCCAGGATAATGAGGGAAAGGTCTCCCATCTGGGAATACATGATGGCTGTGGTTGCTTGTGCAGTTTTCCCAGCCACAGTTGTCGATCCACTCAGTCCAGTTGTAGACATAGACTTGCTGGTCCTGGGAAGCTGTAGAAATAGGACATGTTCCCGGTCAACTGAGGAATGTGCAGAAAGTCAGGAAATGGGAGGCAGACACCCCAGGTTACAGCAGTTATTGCACTTAAACAACAGGTTAAGTGGGGTATTTTTAGACTGACATTCAGTTTTTCTAAGATTGTGCTTTGTTTGGTTTTTAATGTAAACACCGAATTGTTTTGGCTTGGTGTTGTTTAATTTAGAAGCTTAAAAAAATCTTACTGTTTCATGGGCCAGACACAATTTAAAATTGCTTGCCCCAAACTTGCTGTCGACTACACAGGACGCTACTCTTTCACTGGAGGTAATGGGGCTACCTGAATATTTGGCAAGCAGAATCTAAAATTTTAAGTAGAAATAGCAGCTGTGGAAGCACTGTGAGGAAGTGACTTAGTTTGTTTTGTCAGAAAAGCTTTCTATGGCACCTTTAAATAACTTAGACATGAATTTCAGTTTCTTTCTGAATAATAAAAAGACTGTTTCCTTCCCCAAACAGCACAACAGCTATTAAGTAGAGAATGGATATCAGCAGGTAACAAAACATTAGACAGTCAAAAAGTAGAACTCAGGCTGACAAAAAATTTGCTGATATGCCTTGAAATGAAAATTGCTTTGATCAGTAAAAAAATTTGTTGAACATTTATGAATTCAGAGGAAGAAAAGTACAACAGCCTGTTTCACTCTAGATCCGGCAGCTTCAAACACTGGAATGATGATAGGTTTTTTGCTCCGTGTAACAGTAAATAAGATCAAAAAAGGTGATTCTCTGATTAAAAGATTGCTTGATTTTTGAATGATTTCTTTTCTTGTTTGTTTTTAATTCTTAAAATGTGGGAATGTGAGATTTACTCTTTCTTGAGGGTTTTTCAAGATGCAGATGATGGTTAGTGAGTTCTACAATTCCTAACTGGAAAAAAAAAAAGAATCTCAATTTTACAAATTGTCAGCTTTATAAATTTGGAAAAAAACAGTGTGACTGTGCAGCCTTGTGACTGAGCTGAAAAGCACTAACAGTTTTGTTAGGAAGCCAAATTAACGTCACTGTTTTGGGAAGGCAGTTTTATGGTGAAGCAGTCTTAAATTACCTGGTCATTATATTTAGCGGGTGCAGAACAGTAAAAATACCACAGTGATCCTCAGAGGAAAGAAACTGGTGTGGCACAGGTTAGACATGAGTGTAGTTATCAGTTAAAAGCAGCATGGCTGTTGTTCTTAGGGTGCGCCTCTGATGTTTTCAAAGATTCTTGACATGTCACACCAGCACCATAGTCAGACGTGTGTATAGTGCAGGGAGATTGCCCTTACCTACCCTGGGTACAGTTTCTCTCGTATACTATGTTGCCATCATTATCTTCTTTCTGGCACTTGGGAAACTGGAGAGTCACAACAAAGGTCACATTGGATCCTACCAGAGCTGGGCTATCAGTGTCCAATTTGGCTGTCACCCTTCCGCCTGTAGATAAGAAAATTGGTCTTCATTGCAGTAAAGGATGCATCAGAGCAGCAGCTACCTTCAGCTGTGCACTATTTACATTAGAAATGCTTTATTGATTCCTCTGTTTCCAAGAGGTTTTGTGCTCCTAAGTCACTTGCACTCTTATCAAAACCCCAACTTAGAACAATCAGAGGGACTCATCATATCCCCCCACATCACTTACTGGTCTGTCATGCATTTCCTTTGTAGAGCTAAGAATATGTTTTTTTACCCATGGGGGTCAATATATTCCAAAGGAGAATACTTTTGTTTCTCCGCAGGGATACAGCCTTTAGACCTCAGCTCAGACCAGGTGATAATAACACCAAAGTTGTCAAACTGAAGCCCACAGTGCCCTACTGAGGTAGCAGTTGAAGCTACCTGTCCTCTAAGGCATGTTTCAAATAATGGATTGTCCTAGAGCCCTGGTCATCAATACTTCTTAGTAAGTATTAATGTCTGAGACTATGAGTCGTGGGAAAGCATTTACTGCAACAACTCACTGTTCTGCTTCCTCAGACAATGTACTGGGAATGGTATCAAAGCCAATTGTCTCTAATTTGCTATTCCTTGCAGCAGTGGTGGATATTGCACCTATGAAAAAGCACTATAGCACCTGCACTCTTCAGTGAGGTGGATTTTCTGGCCAATTTTCTCAGTGTCTTTGAAATGCATATGTGCGATCACCTTTCCAGCAGTCCTTCCATCTGGGATCTCCTTCTTCCCAGAAAGGATAAAGCTTTTCGTTCCATTTATTTTGATCACTAGACCAGCCTTGTAGCTTCTTGTAGGATGCGACAGGAGAAGTCCTTCCATGGCTCAGCACGTCTTGAAACCCTAGAGAGAAAAACGAACATGCAATGTAATAGCATTTTCCCTGCCACCCTATAAAGACATTGCTCTTGTGCTGAACAGCCGTCTTATTATGACTATATTCTTGTACTGTTTAGAGAACTCTTCACCAGTAGAAAGTTATGGAATTTTATCGTCGCAGCTATAAACACATCAACTATAACCAACATAAAGACAATTCCACCACTGACAGACTGACATTTTTCTACTTGCATTATTGCAAGCTTTCCAGAGAAAGAATAAAAAGGATTACAACGTTTTGACCATATCAGAGCAATTGTTTGTATGAATGGACATAACCCTGCAACGATCGGGCTAGTTGTACAGAGGTTGCTTGATTGCTGACTGCTTTGTGCTTGCCTGGTAATAAATCTATGAGTAAAAGGCTAACAGGATAAATTCACTCTGTGTCCGAGTTGTGCTCTAGTGGAAGTTATGCCAGGAATTGATTTTGGCCCAGTGAAGCTTCTTTGGTGAGTTGGCTGGTGGTTTGAGTGGGAGGGGTGGAACCAATTGTAACAAAAGCTGGCATTTCCAGAAAAGGAAATTTAGAGCTGAATAGTAAATTCAATGTGTTTATAATATAACAACAAAAACATATTAGCTTCATGCCTATTACTTTAAAGTGGCTCGGATATTAAATAATTTTAATAACCTCTTTCTTCTCATGTTACTACAAATGATGGGCTCAAACTTTTCCCAGGCTTTCTAGGATCCCTCTTTCTGTCACAAAGTACACATAATGAAAAGCAAAGTAAATATCCAAGTAACCTGTAGGAACATGTTGACCACTGTAGGATGCCATAAAAACACGTTCGTAAGTAGGCTCATAGGCAGAGTTCCATTAAAGCCTGGGGGCTTTAAACAACTCTGTCATGTTAATCAGGTAACTGCTGGGCGTGCCATTCTGTCACAACATCAAAGGAGTTAGGATTCCTGCTTTTCATGGCTTTATTTTAAAGGTAGCTGATGCTGAATGCTTCTGAGATTTATACCCAAGTGCAACAAAGAGCTGGATGACTTCAAGGAAAATGCAGAGCCCTGTAAGAAGGGCAAGAATGGCCCTGTGCGCTGTAACGTAACTGGCTGTGTTGGGATTTCTCCGAGTTTTGGAAAAGGCACAGAGCGGGTGTAGCCAGTCTAAGCACGGTCTTTATGGGCATGTGACTCCTAATTTTACTGCAAGGGAGAACCAGAGAAACAGCACTGAAGAAAAGACAAGAACTGCTTTCTCTTGATGTTTTATTGCCCAGTGAGATTTCTGCTGGGCAGGAAGGACGTCCCTCGGCCAGTCCCATCTCAATGGTCACTCTGAACTGATGCTGGTAGCTCTCTCCCCAGTCTTGAGGACTGAAAGGTTTGAGGAAAAGAACAGATTTTGCACTCAGAGACATATTCTCCCACGGTCTTTTGCCCTACAGGAACTCAACTGCCCTACAGTCTCACTTAAATCACTTGAATCAAGTCCTTCCTGCAGATTTAATATATTTTGATGTGAGCAAAGCATAACATCATGACTGGTATTTACTTAATGGCCTGTATCACATGCTGTATTGTTTTCAGTTCTTGGTCAGAAGAAAAGTTGTGTAATGTTGTCCTTCAGAAACTTTTCTCGGGAAAAAAAAACAGATTAGCAACTATAAAAGTATTTCACAAAGGTTTATCAAGTTCAGTTACATTTTAGGTCATTAAATTAATGTGTCATCTTATTTGAAAGTAAGTGGCTAAGGATTTTTCCTAATTTCTTTTTCCCATTCACTTTGATTTTATCTAAAAATTATTTAATGAATAAAAATGTTTTGATTTTGTCAGATCAAAACATTTCAATCATTTTTTTCCCCCAAATGCTCAATTCATCAAAAAGAGCTGGACCACTTGTAATTTTATAAATGCTTTTAATTTTGAATTTTCAATAATAATCCTTGAATTCAGAAGTTATTTTCTTGTCCAGCTTTGGTAATAACTGTGGTCACTGCTTCTAAATCACAAGCTCCTTAGGCGTTTCTGTGCCTCCCTGATGTGCTTTGTTTATTTCAATCAAACATAAAACATTTCACAAGCTTCAGGACAAGACAAAGACATTTTTTCAGATGAGCAAAGACTTCAGCACTAGTTTCTCTAACACATGGAACAGAAGATTTTCAGTTGCTGAATTTAAAGGAACAAAAAGCTTTAATGTATTTCTTCTTTAACAATGAAACCCACTCAAGAACAGATGTTGGTCATAACCAAAATTAGAGCAATTCAGTTCAAAACAGACAGAGTAATATTACACTCCAAGAAATGATTACTGTAATAGTTTTGGTGAGGTGATCATAGGAGAAAAGATCTGATCGACTTTCTTCTTGCTCATTCTGGTTTTCATTTTGGTGAAAAATGTAGCAAAGAGAAGTTGTTCAGCATTTCCTGTGATAGTGTGTAGGCCGTGAAAGAGAGAACGAAAGCCAATGTTAGAACAACAGCAATAAAAAGATGACTCGGCTAAAGAGGATGAACGTGTATTAGAAGTAAAAAGGCTGATGTTATGGCCAAGCTAAGAAGACAGAAAATAAAGTAAACTCTCTCAAGTTACATGCAGAAACATAATAAAGCAGGACAAAAAAGACTTTGAGGAACAACTTGCAAAACCATAAAAACTACTAATTAATCTTTTTTTTCAAATACAAAAGTAGTGGAAAGCTTGCCAGAAAGTCTGTGGGGCCAAAAGATGATGTAGATATAAAAGAAGCATTCAGGGAAGATAAAGGACGAAAGTCAAATACATTAATTTACATTTTCATTCACAAAGGAGGAGCATAAGAGGTTTCTGTGCTAGAATTTTCCTTTACAATGATGGAGAATCTCTCTCAAAATGAAGTGTTCACACAAAAATATAATTATAGAACAAATCAACAAAATGAAGAAGTTGTCTAGATTGGGTGGCTCAAAAAGCCTGGAAGTTATTCAAGAGTGAAATAAACGAGCTGTTAACCATAGCATGTAACATCTTGCTTAAAACTGCTTCAGCGGCCGAGAAACAAAAGTTGGCAAATGTGATGACAGTTTTTAAAAACACTTCCAGGGAAGATTTAGAGGATTACAAAAAGTTTGAGGCTCAAATTGGAGAAGCTGGTAGAAACAGCAGTGAAGAACAGAATTAGCAGATACAGTGGATTAATATGATATGCCGTAAAAGGAGTGCATTCCTCACAAATATATTTGAGTTTCGCTGAGGGAGCCAGAGAGCATGGGAACAAGGCTGACCTGCTTGTTATAGTCTGCTTGAGTTCCAGACGGCATTTGATGAGGTCCCTCGCTAAAGGCACATAAAGGAACTAAGTTACCGTGGGATAAGAATGAAGGATTTCACATGAATAAATAATTGGTTAGGATATATGAACCGAAAGTTATGAATAAGTGGCCAGTTTTCTCAATTGTTGGAATAATTTAAAATGTTCATAATCTGGTAAAGAGGCAAAAAATAAAGTTCTTTAATTTGCTGAAGACAGTGTCTTGAAGTAGTAGAGGGGAGGACTGTATGAGACTCAATGACTCAAGAATAAAACTATATGAAATTCAGCATAGTTAAATGTAACTTTACTTACAGAACGAGGGGCTCTAAACTAGCTATTGCCACTGAGAAATGAGATCTCGCAGCTTTACAGTTTTGAATGCAGTGCTCATTGGTAGTTGAAAAACCAGGAAAAGGCTAGATGGAGAACGAAGATGAAAATGTCATTACAGCATTGTATAATTCCACGTGTGTTCATGTCTTGAATACTGTACGCTGCTCTGTTCTCTGCAGCTCAAGCAGGGTGTAAGAGAACTGAAAAAATACAGAGAAAGGTGGCAAGGATGCTACAAAGGGATAGAATTGTTTCCATATGAGGAACAGCTAAATAGACTGTGTCTTGAGCCTGGAGAAGAGGTGACAGAGGAGAATAGAAAAACAGAATCACAAATAGCATGGAGGAAGAAGCAATTTGTCACTATTTCTGAAAGTACAAAAGTTAAGGATAATCAAATGAAACCAGCAGGTTACAGGTTCTAAGCTCAAAAAAGATATTTCTTCATGTAAGGCAGTTAAGCTTGAAATTTCTTGCTGGCAGGATGTTGTGTGTGCCAAAAATTTTTAAGGGTTGCAATCAAACCCCAATTGAGTTGGGTGCATGAACGGATGGAAGAAAAGTCCAGTAAAAACTCTTAAATACAATGACTCTGCATCTGACAGAGGCAGTTCTGGTGCTATAAATCATCAGAGGCTGGGAAAGTGTCCTGAGTAAATACCACTACACACTTGCCCAGTTATACATCCATTACTGTTTCCCATTGGAGACAGGTACAAGGCTAGATGGATGCTCAGCTGGACCTCAGCTTTTAAGGTCTTCAGTTTCCTTACTGTAGATTCTGGAATTTGAGCCTAAAATCCCATTTCTGCGTTGCCAGCCCTGAGCTCAGGGAGTCAACCTAAGACTTGAGTCAAGCTGGGAGCCCAGAAAGAAGCAGAGGACCAGACCAGTGCCTGCCCACCGTGGCTTGAGGATCCAATTCCTTGACTGGGCTCCCTGAGGTTGGGGATCCACAGGTCTGGGTGTCCCGGGGGGCAGCACTGCTCTGACCTGGCCTTTCCCAGCCACAGCTGAGCTGAGCAAACGGGGGGAAGTCCAGTCTGCATCTGCCTTTCTAGCCATGCTTGAGCTGGGGAAATATTGTTAGAAATTTGTTGAAATGAGCCAAGGCTTAGCTCCGGTCAGCTCTGTGTATCTGTGGAGCTCAGGAAATAGATAACTGAACAGCTCTCGGCATATTTCTTCAGCTCGGGTGACATTTCTACCCAGAGCCAGGCAACCCTGAGGTGGAGCTGGCTGTCGCCTGCCAGTTCCCAAGCACAGCGCCAGCAACCGCTGCACGTGCAAGGAGCAGCCGTTTTTACCACACTAGCTTGGGACGTCGAACCCGCGGGGGCAGGGAGAGAGGACGAGGTGAAGGAAGCACTCACGTGTGGTGGCAGCACACAGCACCGCTTCGGCCAGGAGCAGGAATCCGAGGTGGCGGCGAACACCGCTCATGGTGCCGGAGACCCTGCGTCGGCTCAGCGTGCGCAGAAGAGCAGAGTGCCCGGTGCCTGCACACGGTAACTCCTCCGGTCCCCACTGAGAAGTGAGAATGAAGTTTCTCCGCTGCTCTGCTCTCCGATTAAATGAAGGGCCCCAGGACTCATCATGTGATGGAATTAAGCAGAGATGCATGATTTTGTCTTCAGCTTCTTTCAGCTCATGTGCTTATGACTCACTCCCTTTGCTTCCAGCATTCCCTGGGATTTCTGAGAGACCTGTTTAGAGCCACACCGTTTACCTTGCAGGCATTTTTATACTAGTTTTGCACTATGATCAATTTTTGTACTTAATTTGTTTTTAAATTAGGAATGTTTATTTCCAGAAATCCAAATTAACTCTTGCCCCAGCCTGATTTGCAAGTGTTCCTGCAACAGCTCACTGCATTTGATGGACCCATCACTACTTAACCATGTGTCTCTACCCACATGCTGGGCAACAACTGTAAATTAAATGGAGACTGACCAATTCTAACATATCCCTGGACTTGGCTCCTGATCAGAGTTGATTGTTAAGGAAAATGTTATTTAAACACTTAGTGGGCACATGCGTGTACCATCCAACCACAGTTGCACAATACGATGTGCCCATGGTTAGAGGTGCGATCACAGACCGTATGTAGTGATGGCCAGTCAATATCTAGCTCACAAGTTGCCATGACCTATGCACAGACAAGTACTTCATTGTACATACTTCATGGTGTGTAGAGATAAAGCAAAAATAGACTTTGCTGCCCAACCTAATGATGAGGTATAACCAATGGCTCAAGAGGAGTAGGGTAATACAGACAGATTGGCAAACACTGCACTTAGTGGTTCAAATTCAGGTTCAACAGGCTTCACCAGCCCAGGTATTCTTCTGCAGGCAGTGCAGCAACTGAATTTTGTTGCAGCCCTGGCAGCCTTGTGAAGTTTCTTGCTTTTGTTTGCAGCAAAGAACAAGCTTTGGTGAGACGACATGGCATAGAAGCAAGTGTGGTCCTCAAGACAGGACTCCAGTAGCGGTTTCAGTGATCCTAAAGTATAGCACTGGCAAGTGAGACACTGTCAACAGAATGAAGAGATTGCCCAATGGAAGGAGACAGCACCCCATCCAGCATTTCTCTCAGTAACGCAGGCTCTGATGTCCAGTCCTGTGCATCTTCAATATGTAGACTCCGTGCTTCAGCACCCTCCTGGCTGGAGCCAAGCCTCCCTCCTACCGCCAGCCAAGGAAAAGGGTGAAGGCAATAGCCTTAGGGTTACCAGGCTTGTTTACGCTAAGCCCTCATTATCTGGCAGAAAGGAGAGGGAGCATAAAAAAGTCAAAGCTGTGACTGACTATGCAAAAAAATCATATGACTGCAGCGTCCTCATGTGATTGTTGCTTTTTTGTTGTTATTAAATCAACTACATTCCCAGTTGAAATGTCAGGTTTCGGAGCCATTCACAATTATTTTTTAAACCATGTGGGACATTAACTTTAATTGCACTCCTTTGTTTCCAGGTTGTTGATTCTGGAAGTGAAAAGTGACCTTCAAACACTGTGTTTCAGCACTGGGGGCCTGATCCAAAGTCTGCTGGGGAGAAAGGAGGTTTGAACGCTCGTTCCCAACAGGGTTTTGAGAACCTCCAGAGGAAGACTACTGACAACAAATGCCTGTTAATTAAAAACAAAAATTTATGAGCCTAAAAACAATAAAGTTGGTTAGGACGGAGTTTTTTGCCATGTTATTTGATACATGAAATTGTTACATAAATATTGAGTGACACCCTCAATAAGGGCCAGCTGGTGGAAATTATTAAACACGTTGTAAATAGACTTCAGGGGCACTGAGGATCAGGCCTGCGGTTAGAGGAATCCAAACCCACCAGGGCTGGGGTAATGACTAAAAGGTGGCCGTACTGTGACGCGCCGGTCCTTCACGTTCTCCCTCCGCAGCTCTTGGGCCTTGGACTACACAATCCTGGAGGGCTGGCACAGACAATGTTGGGATCCGCTTATGCTGTGGCTGCAGCCGACAGTGTTAGCAAGAAAAGAGGAGAGGAGAAAGCCGTATAAGAAGGGAAGAAAGAGCTAGGAGGAACAGAGTTGTAAAAGGAGTGAAGAGAAGAATAAAAAACCAAGGAAGAGGTTGAGAAGTGAAGACTGAAGGGACCATCTGAAAACTGATCTGACTTCTCCAAGTCTCCCAGCCATAGCCGACTATGTCTGAAAATGAGTCCATCTGAAACACCGAAGAGTTGCTTGAAACTGGGTGATCATCACCAGACCTTAAATTAACTTTATCGTTTTTACATTATTATTCTTGGACTCTGAGAAACAGCTTTGCAGTTAAAACAACTGAACTGAATTGTGCAGCTGTAAAAGAGAAAAGATTTAAAATACAACCTAAATATTCTCCTAGCAAAGAAACACACATTCAGAAAGATTTAGGGCTTAATCTGACAAAGAAGTGGGTGGGTAGGAAGCGCTTGGTACTGCACAGCTTTAGCGCCTCAGTTATTAAAGCTCATTGAGGAGACGTACAGCTCTGCTACCTGAAGGCCTGTCAGATGACAGGGTGTGAGCTCATCATGTGCACCTGCATGTCTAGACTGTGACAGAGCTGGCACGCTTGCGCCGCTATCACACCGCCATCGCCACAACACGAGCACAGGAATTGTTAATCACTGCTTACAGGAACTTTAAAAAAAAAAAGAAAAAGAAAAAAAGAAGGGATTTGAAGAACGAACTTGACTTTTGGCCAAGCCAGCAAAGGAAAATGAGACGATCTTCTTTTGGCAACCAGGTAGTTTTAGGTAAATGCTGTCTGCAATGACCAGTAGCTTCTCGAAGGAACTCTGCTTAAGGCTGGACAAATTCCCTTTCTGGGAAGGAATCATCTGTGTCTCGCTTCACATGGGGCAGTGGCCGTCAGCTGACTGAACCGAACATGTAAACAAAGCTATGTGAGCACTCTGCAGTCTGTCTTGTTGTACGGGGCAGAAAAAAGCTCTACAAAAGCTCCTGATCAGTTTATGGCACCGCCCAGCTCAGTTTATAACTGAAAAATTAATTAACCCTTGCAACTGGACAAACCGGCTTTTAGTAATTCCAGCGTCTTCATTTTTTGCTTTTGTGGTAGCTACGCATTTTACCTTTTTTTTATGGGAAGGTATTTCCTTGCAGTCATACTTTTCTCCAGATTCCTGTGTTGGGGTTGATGTTTTCCAAACTTGGCACTTGACCACAGCATGTAATTCTGGAGAATTTTTTGTGATAAAAGTCATTTTTGGCCTGATTTCCTCTAGAGGGAAGGCTCAAATGAGCACGCCAGCTCTCCGCCTTTTTAGGGGTGTCTCTCTGTTGGTCCCTCCCTACGAACGCCAAACGCACTGCTCAGTCACAGCCATGTGTGTGACAGAGTGCCCAAAAACACCTCATGAAAGCAGCTTGTGGGGAAGGTAGGGGAACCCAAGAAATCATCTGCAGCGCTTTGACATCAGCAAATCCTCACGAGAGCTCGGCCTTGAGATACAGACCCAGAGAGCGCCCCGGTCCACTCATCCCCCACGGGTGGACTTGGCTTCCCTGCCCATGGGAGTTCGCACTAATTTGTGCAGATGACCAGCAGTTGAAGACAAAGCACGATAACAGATACCGACCCTCCAGACCGCACCATGCATCTTTTTTTAAAGGTGTGTAAACAAAACGAGTTTATTCAATGTCTCTAGGCAGGTTTGTTGGTTGTTTTTTTTTTTTTAAACTATGGTGTCAGTGCAAGGAGGAGGTGTAACTATCCAGGTAGTCCCAGTGCTCTGCTGCTGTAGCCCATGGTCTTCTAAAGGCCTCTGTAAGCTTCTGGCTTGCTCTGTGTGCTCCTCAGCTAAGCCACTTTCAGTTTTGAAGCTGCCACAGTTCATTTATAGTCTGGACATTGGTTTTACAGTACTACTTTTCTCATACTGATTTAATGAACTGTTAGTTATGTGGTTTTATTTTCACAATGATTCATCAAGGCACAGTCCTCTTCCAATCAGGAGAGCAGATAATTGCTGTAAAAGTGCATGATTATGACTGTGTGAGACCCATATTTTACATCATATTATAATGAAATCCACTCAGGTCTCCCTGTTGCTCAGAGAGGTTTTGAAAGATAGATTTTGTATCATTCAGCTCAAGAGAGAGCAGTCAAATTATTGCTGAAACATTCTGTTTTCTCTAAAGACATTCATTGATATTTTGGCTAGGAAAAAGAAAAATGTCTTCAAAGAAAGTAATCCAGGAACAATCAAACCGGCAAAACCCAACCAAAAAGGTGACGTATCAAAGAGAATATACTTAACGTCTGCTGTGTAGTCATTTTGGTGGGAGGACACTGAAGGAGAAGTAGTCTCACAGCCAAAGTCTGCTCCTTTGAAGCTTTTCTAAGAAACAATATAAACTGAATGTACTCAATGGTACCGTATTCCCTGTATATGCTATGTTTCACTTATTGTGGGCTGGGGATAAGAAGCTAACACAGAAGCTCAGTTGTTTTATGGTCCGGGACTGCTCAAGAAATAACCGCAGCACTTCCCTGAAATAGGAGTCTGGCAGCTGAACTTTAGCGTAACATACTCTTTAATGTATTAACAGCAAGAATATGAACAAAATTCTGCATTTTTGGACTGTATTCCCACTGACTCATGACATTAATTCAGACAGTAACCTCTTCCTTCGAGGCTAGACCCAGCAGTGAATATACAGGCAATGGAGAGGGGAGAAAAAAGATGGCTATATTATATAGCAACCAGCTTTCTATCTAGAAGCCCAGTTTAGATAGTAACATTTATGGCATAAAAGGAAGGCAAACTCTGAGCAGGTGGAGCTGTTGTGCTCCTAGTGATGGTTTGCTGTCACCCTAGGACTTAAATCCACCTGGATCCTCCTTCTGTGGCTGACAGCATTGAGGAGGACTCATTTGGGGGCCTGGAGCGAAATAGAAGGATTAA